GAGTGGCTTCTTCCAATGTGGTTCCACGATAAATATAGCATAAGAGTGTTTTATTAATGCTCCATAGAAAAGCTGGCCTGATTCTAGCTACTTAAACTGCAGCCTCTGAGCTGGTTTCCCAGAAGTTTCCCCCAGATGAGGTGCTAAAGGTTCTGTAGCTGCTGGCACAGTTCACTTGCCTTTCTGTCCAACACGATCTGTTCCAACAGGCGCACAGTGATACTATGGAAGAGCTGACAGGACACAGTAAGTAAGGTGGGACAAGGTGACAGATCTCTCCTCTGTAGCTGAAATGAGCCAGAGAAGGAAGAGTGCAAGGTGTCATCTTTCTAAGAGTAGTGGAATAGGATTCCAGCAGGTCAATGTATACCTTAAAGTTAGCCAACAACTCTACCCCCACCCTTTTTAATTTTTTTTCAATGGAAGTGCAGCTAGCTACATCCACATTCAAACTAAATGATGGAATTTTCTCTTTTTTTGTTTGGCTTTGTCACTAGTAAGAGTGACACAAGTGCTACATCCCAGAATTAGCAATAGAGTGCTAATAGCTCTGAGAAGTACCTGCTGAAGCAGCAATTTTGCTTCATAATCAGGAAGAAAATAGATAGCTTTGAATGACAAATACTTGCAAGACAGTCTTTTAAAAAGAAGATACTGCCTTATATTACAGTCTGACCAGAAATTTTTCAGCAATTAGATAAGTTCTTTGTAGCAAAGTCAGAATTTTCCAATTCAGCTCCAGAAGTTTTTCTATATGAGTTGACTGCTTAAAGCTCAGTTTCTGATACAGAAAGTCTCTTGTTTCTCCAAACAGAAATGAGGAGAGAGATAAAAGCCCACAGGGTTTCTTTTTATTGCAAATGTAAAATGAAGTGCTTATCACTGAAAAGAACAGAAATCAGAACTCTACAGACTGAACCTCACACTACTGATTCTATTGGTATTACATGTACATGTCAATTGTTAATTTGCTTTACAAAAAGCTAGGAAACAGTTGCCAAAGGATCTCTATGAACCTGTTAGATGTTACTCAAGAGCTTTAACTTAGTCTTACTAAAAAATCCATAAGAAATGCCCACTATTAGATAAAGTTCAGGCCTATTCCTCAACCATAGCTAGTTTATTCTCTTGCTGACTGATGGTTTATCAGCCTTAACTCTCAAGCATCAAGTCCAGGGCTCATCCTCTGTCAGGCAAGAATTCCATTACTATTATTCCTATGCACACCATTAGAAGTTTGAGGTCTTTTCTCCCCACCTCTCTCCATCTTGTGACTCCCACAAACAGAGCAACCTTACTTCAGTGTTTGCTTCTCTACATTATTTGTAGTGGGTTTTAACCAGCATGTTTCTCCTGAAAAGAACCCGAATGTTTCCAAATTCTTACATTTTAGCCTACAGATGAGCATAAGCTTTTGCAAACCTGTTTCCAGGTAGAGTTTAAACAGAATGAGATTATGAAAAAATAAGCCTATAACCCAGGGCAATCGAAATAAATTATCACTCTTGGTTGGATTAGATTGGAACAGATTTCTGTCTCATTTGATTGTTGTTTTAACATACTGACCTTCTGCAATTTAGTTCCAGTGATTAAGACAATGCAAAGTAATACTTTCTTTCTTGTCCAAACAAACTATTTTGATAAGCAATTAATAGTTTACGCTTCATAGTTCTTGATGTATTCCATAATGTAATTGTGGGTGACTGCTATAGATGCTGTTGCTACACAACAAACAAAGTGGGACTTTACACCCACAATATAAAATGAGATATAACTACAATAACTGCAGGTGCTGGGAAGGCTGTTTGGGAAGATATGAGAAGTGGTATTCCATGGGTGAGCAGGAAATCACTTCCTGATTCCTTGTGCAAGTGAAGGCTACAAAGCCTTTGTTACTAGAGGAGCAGTCTCACAAACCTGTGTTTTGGGCAAGACAAAATCCATTAGCAACACACCATGAGTTACTATTTTAATGCTGTGGTGTAGCATCTACATGACATTGGTGTTAGTGCATTATTGAAACACGTTCAATTGTGCTGCTGTGGTATGCTGAAATTTGAATAGTATGAAACCTTAACATTTTTAAACCTGTAGTTTCTTGTTTCCTATCTTTTCTTCCTAGAATCAAAAGGTGCCTAGAGGAAAAAGAAAAAGATATGCAAATTCTTTATTGCAGAATAACTTGAACCACATAAATTCAGGTTCTGTTCCTAAATGCTTGTAGCCAAGTCTGAGGGATTACAAGCTCAGAAATTCAGGGAAAGGGTGTGAGACACTGGCACAGGTTGCCCAGGGACATGGTGGCTGCCCTGACCCTGGTGGTGTTCAAGGCCAGGCTGGATGAGCCTTGAGCAACCTGATCTAGTGAGGAGGTGTCCCTGCTCAGGGCAGGGGTTGGGACTAGACAGCCTGTAAGTTCCATTCCAACCCTTAAATTCTGTGATTCTATGAAATAAGAAATTAGAAAGAATGTTGACTAAATCAACTTATCATAATGATTGTGTTAACTGCAGTACAGTCTTCTACTTCCTCAGTTTACTTAAGCTATTCTGTATTCAAATAATTCAGAGAGCTTCATCCAGATTGAAAGATAGAGACACTTGGTACAAAAGCTCTGAATCAGCTGGAATATCCAGATTTCCATTTCATTCTTGTTTACCTTTTCTGCTTCAATCCCATTCCACAGAGAAAAAGCATTTTCTGGCATTTTTAGTGCATTTTTTTGTCCTACTACTTATCCATCCTCTATGCATTCTACCCTCTATTTAAAAAAGTTTCTTCTCTATTCCTGTTTCTCCCCTGCTGTGGGGCTGGTACCCATTTTCCTGTCTCATTTCAGAAGGCCACGTTCTGAGTTTCCTTGTGAGAAGGAAGGACTGGCTGTGGGTTTGATACCAATCTTTACATCACACTTGGCAGTAAACATGCTCCAGGTCACCCAGCAGGTTTGGGTTTGAACTGTTAAACGACCTCCTTTTTTGGCAAAGATAACAGAAGAATTATGCATGATAGAGCTGCTAGTGGTCAGTAACATGCCTTTTGGCAAAGGAGAGAGAATTCCACAGTTTATTCCACAATACCACACCTGTGCTAACTCCCCTGGGCTACAGGGTCCACGAAGGAAAAAAGTTTGATCTGGTCAGTACACATCCCATACTGCTCAGCATCAGCTAACAGTCTTATAATACAAAAGGTTATAGTAAATTCCTTTTTTTCTTTCTTTCTTTTTAAGCAGCTACTTTCAGAGACATCTGGGTGTATCATATTTCTCTGGTAAATAGTTCAGGACTGCAGCCCAACTTCAAAACTTGTAAGACTTTCTCTTGAAAATGCAAATGATCTCTCAGAGACACCTAACCACATTATCCTGCCTTTTCCAGTGTTCACTGACTGTCCTTATCTCTAAATTAAGTATTCTATCCGAGAGTATGCTGGAAGAAATCCAGAGTTACTGTTTTCCTTAAGAAGACTAGATTTTCCTGCAGTAACAGTTAAAGCAGAAGGTGATCAGAGAGCAGTGTGAGAGGCTGAGCATGAAGCAGGATGTGTGTCTAGAAAAGGGTTTATAATTGCAGGGAAGAGTTAAGCAAAAATATAGTTTTAATCACAATTCTGTATCGTCCCAAATAACAGAGAAAACAGTTCTTTTCGGAGTTCAGGACGAAATTACCCAATGACAATATTTTCAAAGCAGCAGACAATATCCCCCAGTCCTGTGATGATCCCACACCGATTGCTTCCCTGCAGCCACTGCCTGACTGCAGAACCTGTAACTGCATTTTCTGGTATTTTATAAGACTTTGCATAGTCATTTCTCTCCACTTTGTTCTATAGTCTGACACCAGCAGCTCTGCTTTCTGTAAACAGCTGCAAAGCAAACACACAAAGCACCTCCATCAGGCTGTTTGCTCTGTGCTGTTTGCTGTTCGGCCGCTCCCTCGCGGCTTTCAGCACACAAGTTCCACTCACACAGAAGTGGTTTCAGAACAGATCATAAAAATGTATGCAGGCACAGAGAAAACAGTGGCCACTGCTCAACAAGAATCTTTCCCTTCAATTCTAGTGCACCAGAGCCATTAAAAATTTTTCTAACTCCATTCTTTTTTGATCAGCTGAGTTAACAAACTGTTGTTAGAGGAGCAGATGCATTTCACATCACTGGAAGAGTCCTACAGAATCGAAAGTTCACTTCAAGCTATTTTTGTCAAAAAGCAAATGAAGGCATTAAATAAATAGTTCTTCTGTGTAGTGTAGTTCCTACTTCTCTGTTTTGTATTGATGTGAGAGTCTTTAATCAGAAATACTATGAATGCTTTGTACTCCTTTGCCTAGCACTGATCACACTGCTCAGCCTCCAAAGTGAAGCTGTCAAGGTGAAGTGCTGCTGCTGATCCTTCAGAAATTCAGAAATTATCTCCAGGAAAGTGCAGAACTTGTAGTAGATCTATATGCATGTAAAATTAATCCATCTTTGAGCCTACAGTTCCTCTTTCAAAAGCTCAACTAGAAAATAAATACAATGCACCTGAGAACTTTTAGTGACACCCTTGGTCAAAAGCAGTGAGGTAAACCTGAACTCTTCACAATGAAACTCATCCAGGAAGTTGGTTTAGTTTAGAACTGCTCTCACACACTAGGACTCCTCCTACCAATAGTCTGTTGCAGAAATATTTCAACATTCATCTCTGAATTAAAATTCAAGCTCCACATCTTTTCATATTTACTTTAGAATTATATAAATTTAAAAAACAAATGCTTTGAGTGCATAGACAGATATATAGTCACAAAAGTAAAGGAAAAGGTGATTTTCTCAAAAGATTTTAAGAGTCTCAAGAAATAATACACTGGAAAGGCATCTAATCCCTTATTAATGTGTTATTTAAGAGCAAAACATACTTCAGCTGATCCTTCTCTACTTCCCATTGGTTCTGTGAAGTGCCAGCAGGAAAGCAAAAACAAAATTTGTATTTTGAAGTTTTAAAAAATGAAATTTCACTTACCTAATTCTTTAGAAACTAGAGAGTCAGCTGGTATATCCCCAATCTTTGCAAGGCTATCATAATATGCTCTTCCAGCCACCACCATAACTGAGGGAAAGGGGAAATACAAGTGTTAGAAAATCAAAATATTTTCCTTTTTAATTAAACTATGATCCTATGAAGTCTTGGAATCCAGGGCACACATTAAGAGAGGTGTGTGGCAATAAGAAAATCCTGCTATCAGAGAAAGTTACACAAGTCCCTGTAGTACCTGCTGATTTGTGAAACCAGGAGTCAAAGACAACACACCAGAGTATATTAATGTAGTTCCAGCCTGTTATTTAGTTCCAACTTCCAGGCATACCCAGGGGCAATCAGCCTCCAGTGGGGAGGTTTGTGGATAACACTGTACAGGCTTTGTATCCTGCAATGACAAGTACAATTCCTTGTCAAAACAACACATTGAAATCTGAGGCTCCTACTTATAAACACAAACTTTTCCACTTCAAGGAAATTTTGGGCCTTTAGCATGTAATGCTAAAATTTCAAAAATTAAGTGTCAAAGATGATGTTCAGGTTTTGCAGATAACTCATTTGGCATTCGTTTCTAATTGCCAACATACCATCAGTGCTCAGGAGATTATTCTAATTTACATGGTTTGACAACTTAGGGGGCTTAAATGTTGGAAGATCTTTGGTTTCTTGGTGAAACATGGAAAATTGGCATTGATATATACAATTTCTGCAGAGTCATTCTGACACTCCAGGAAAGTACCTACTTTTGTCTTCATCACTGAACTCAGAATGGCACAGAAATCTGTATTCCAAGAACTTTTAGCCATAAACACCTCATCAACAGGTGCATATACAGTTTAAGAGGAAACCTGAAGGTTTAACAACCAAAAAGACAGGTCCTGGATGCTCACCTCTCACCCCACCTCCAACAGTTTCCCCTCTTATTATTTATGGTTCAATTCCAGTTTTACAGGAACCAGTAAGTTCATTTTATATATCAGAAGGTTTCAGTTATTTCCAGTTAATCATTTCCTGGTTAAAGCCAGTTTTGCTACAGTGAACATGGAAACGTCAGGACTCAGCTGCAGAGAGGCCAGTGAGAAACATTTCACATAGGTAGATCTGCAGTGGTTGCATTGCATCTTCACACCACAGAGGAAAGAAATAACAAGGACAAATTGCCAAGGTTTTAATGCAAAAGGCAGTGAAAAATACTTAGCGAAGTTAGTCTTCATAATTTTTTGTAGTAGTACATTCTTGACCTAAAGTGAATGCCAAGCAAACTCTCACTGTTGACTTTAGGATACTTTTTTATATTTTTCTGAAAGGAATAGAATTGGCAATTGCCAATTATAGGTCTGTATTTTATAGCTCTTATTAGTAAGATGACATCTTTGGTTACATGACAGTGTATTCACTGAGAGGCCTGAAACTCTTCCAAATGAAACAAAGATCCTTTTTGGGGCTCTGCTGCATCAGACAAGGCTGATTTCTGTCTAAGCTCTCTCATAGGTGCTCTGTATTCAAACTTTCTGAAGAGAAGAATTATACTGGTGCTACTGATGGACCAGTGTGCCACCTGCATGAGAAGATTTGATGCCAGTCCAACTCTTCCTGCCTGTGTTTTCTCAAGACAGCCCCAAGTCAATCTTTTCTCCTAATACAGGCAGTAAAACATGAAGAAAATGTGTGATTTCCCCTGTGCTAATCAAGCTAAATCAAGAACTCTGCTTGTACAGCCCTTTCACCAGTACTATGGCTTGTAACCTACTTCTGCAGAAAAGGGGGGTTGACCTTTTCTCCTCAAAATGTAGCAAAATACATTCTAAATCTATTGGGAGTTCTTGTAAATTCTTCGCTGTCAGCCTACTCCGACTTCTTTGGAAACCTGCAAAGTATTTGTTTAGCAACAGAGTATTTACTTCTTGTTACAAATGATTTAGACCCCTCAGAAGGGATGGTGAAAACATTAACAATTTATGAGAGTCCAAAGATGACTTTGCAACACTTGTTGCAACACTGCAAACATTCACTGGGAACGGAGGGTTGGCAGATAGTGCTTTATCAGCTGCTCTGAAAGGCAAATGTGCTAGGACACAAGACCCGTCACCCTCTCCAGCTCTGTTGTGCCTCTTCCAATTGAGTTTGCCAGAAGGGATGGTGAAAACATTAACAATTTATGAGAGTCCAAAGATGACTTTGCAACACTTGTTGCAACACTGCAAACATTCACTGGGAACGGAGGGTTGGCAGATAGTGCTTTATCAGCTGCTCTGAAAGGCAAATGTGCTAGGACACAAGACCCGTCACCCTCTCCAGCTCTGTTGTGCCTCTTCCAATTGAGTTTGCTTTGCAATAACGTATCAACAGCACAGTATGTGGAAAGCAAAACCCTCAGAAACTGGTATAAAAATATTTCAGACATATATGGAAACACTTATTACTTCTGGTACTACCTGTAATTCCTAAGGTCAGGTGTCAGGTAACCATAATGTTAACCCATCAGGTTAGGCACTACCACAGATAAGTAAGTCAACATTGCCCTGTTTTCACCTCCAGCAGCCTTTGGTTTTATCTTTTTCTCAAGCTTGGTCTAAAATTTGCATGAAGAGAGATTTCGATGTCTGTTTGGCTATGCACTACTTCTGCAGCATCACATTGCTCAGAGTACTAGATTACATGCAGGGGAAAGAGATGCCATAGGCTTGAGTGAGGCCAAATGAGAGAGATTTTACATTGCTTTCATATGGTCCCAAGCAGTTCAACAGGTCTGCAGAGGTGAAATGGAGCAAGCTCCAACAGGTCCTACATTGTAGGCTTTGGGAATCCAGAGCCCAGGCCTTGAAATCCCTTCTCAGAGTCTCTGAAGTCAGTAGTGGAAGTAAACAGCTATATTCCAAAAGTTTGAGAGATTGGGCTCTTGGAGTCAAATGTATTCTTTCCAGTTTTGACTCCATTAAAATGATAACATCAGGATTAGTATGGACAACAAAAAAAATCGTCAATCAATCCACTCCAACTCACAATAATTCAGGTTGTTCTGTTCACAGATGTGCACAGGTCTAAAAATGTGAAACATCTCAGAGAAAAAACCCAAACGTCTAATTTACATAACTTTGGGGTTTTTTTCCATTTATGTTATTATTCTAATGTGGGTTTATTTGAAGCCACTTTCAGTTTATTTTGCAGTAGCTCTGTGTTTAAGTGTTTGTGATGCAGCTTCTTCAGGACAGTGGAAAAAACCCAAAAGGTTGGGGAGAGGGAACATAGGTTTGTGTGTTTGTCCTTGTTAGTTGGTTGGGTTTTTTTTCTCTTAATTAAACACATCCAAAGTTTGACTTGGAAATTAGCTTATACACAACCCTCATATCTAATATGTATATTTAAATGAAACTTAAATATTCTTCCTGAAGTTAGCACCTAGAAAACTTACCATTAACAGCTTTTTCATAATTCTTCCCCAGATTTATTAAATTCCTCAGTCCTGGATTGAACTGTTCCATAACATTCTGGTGAAGAAAAAACAAAATTTGTGTTATCGAGGTAATTCCACAGTGCATGGAAGTATTTCTGTCAGAGTCACTCAGGTCTAGTTTGAAGCTTCATATGTACAGCAAACATCTGGAAAGGCAGGAGATGGGTGAAAATTGCTTGGGGGACAGAGGAGAGCAAAGGATGGAAGGGAAAAGAAACTGAGCATTTAAGATCAGCAAAAATAAAAAAAAAGATAAACTATTTCAACAGGGGTGAAAAGGAGTCTGACTTCATATACAAAAAGATGCCAAGTATGTGATTGGAGTTTGCACAAAACTGTCTTTTATGGTAGGTGACAGTGAAATGAGAATGAGAGAAAAACCTTTATCCACTAATTGTTTTATAAATTCAGACAACTCTCTGACAATGGTTCAAGATTTGAATTCTGGAAAAAAAAAAAAAGATAGAAAAGGAAAAATAATTCACCAGATCTGATGCATGTTCTTCATGTTTTCTGTGTCAGAAATAGCATTTAGGGAAATGAGTTCAAGTTTTTCTTGTGTTGGGGTTTTATTTGTTTGTTTGAAAATGCTATATTTGATTGTGCAAAGCCATAGTTCTACCAGAAAGAAAATGAAAATTATGACCTTATTTAAATAGAAAGAGGAAAAAAAAAAGAAAAACCTACTGCAGCTGCTTTGGCTGTTAAATACAAGTACTAGCTGAACCAACCAGAATCTGAAATCCAGCAGCTCCATGCATGACTGCTCTCATACCCAGTAAATTCTGCAACCTGGTGAAGTGGTAGAAATTGTGACTTGTATTGTCATAGTGCAAGAAAAGTGCTACACCATTAAACAGAAACATTTCAAGTCTTTGCAAAAAGTAGAAAATAAGTTCAGCTATGAAGTATGAATCCAAATTTGCATTTGCCCAAAGCTGGGGGTGAAGAAGAGAGAAGAAGCTTTTGCCTTCTCAAGAAAGGAAGATCATCCACAAAGTCTGAGTTGTTCCTACTCTAAAGCTTCAGTTACCCTCCTGTTGGTCAGAGACAGTAACTCTCTCTCCTCCTCTCAAAATCAATATTCCAAAGTTACTTGTGTCTTGATATGAGCAGTGAAAACAGAAAAGCAGCTGATGTGCTGCCCTAACTGCAGGAGCTACTCACTCCTCAGAACATTGCCCCTGCCTTGAACACAGGCAGCATAAAGAGCAGAATTCCAAACCCCTGGATGTTGCAATCCACTTCTGAACAATACTAAGTAAGTTTGAAAAAGAGACTCTGAGCTTCACTTATTTGGTGGTTTCTTGATTCCTTCCAGAAGCAGAACCACTATCAGAACTAAAGACAGAGCAAGTTTGCTTAGCACCTTGTTGTGTGTGTAAATAAGGACATGCCACATGTGCCTGGTGATTTACCAGCCAAGTAACCACAATGTTCTAATCCTTTCTTTTCTCTCTTCCACACAAAATACAATTTCATAGACACAGCTGCTGAGTCTCAGCAGCAATTTGGTAATAAATATTTTATTTTCAAACCAAATATAATACAAGCCCTGTATTTCCATAGGGGAGAACCTCAAAAGTTTTCACAGATCCTAGACCTCCTTTTCCCAGAATCTTCCTAACAAAACTATGGCTATGACATTACTCTGTAGTTTTATCATGGTGAAAGGAAGATCATGAGGTACCTGGAGACACCATTCTGTTATCTTACTATTTTTATGGCAATATTGTTATGACACAGCTCACTACTGGTCACACAGCAGAACCTTCAAGTTCAAGGAACTCAAAACAGATGCTTTCTGTTTACAAGAAATACAAGACTCAAGTGAAATAGTATCAAGCTTTTGGCTGTTATGTGACTAACAGAATGAAAATATTTATAGTTAGTACATAGAGGGACTCAGAAAGAACCACAACTGTCTTTATTTTCAGGCAAGGTCATGCAGACAGGACTTCAGTATCTTTCAAAGACAGCACTATACCTGAACTCTATGCAATTTAAAAAGTGAAGAAAGGAATTCATTCCAGTAATAGTGTTGAGTAAAAATATAAATATTTAAAAAATATAAACCCATTAGGTTCCAATACTGGTAGAGCGTAAGTTACATCCAAAGCAGACAGAATACCTGGCCCCACTGCCTTTGTGTACAAATTAAATGCAACTGGGATTGTTTTCTGGTCTGTCCCATTAAACTCTCACCCACCCAAATGCAATCACTGCAAACAAACCAGCTATTGTCCCCAGGCCCTCGATTTGTGTTAACTCACAAACCACATCCAGAAATCATTTGGGAAAGTGTGTTTCAGGTTGGGCCAACAATGCCAAGGGCTATTTTAACAACTTAACAGTATGGATATTCAAGCTCTAGTGTCTGGGAACATCCCTTCTCCTGCCCCAGCTCTTTAATTTCCTGCTCTCAATGCTGCTGCTGTGCCTGTTGCCCTCCTTGTAGCTGAGGCTGTGACTGTGAGACACTTGTTCCAAGGAGCAAGCTGTTTCTTCCTAGTCCAACTTTTTGCTATTTCTTCCCAGCTGTGTACTAAAGATGTCTGTTGTCGTACATGGAGTCAGTGAATCACAAGGGGGGAAAAAAAATGTGAATTAGGTGATTGTGTTAGGATAGAAAGTCCTCTATTTCAAGGATATGGGGAAAAGAAAGGTGTACCATGATGGTAAGGGTCCCAATGCCACTTAGAATTGCCACTCTGTACTGAAAATAATTGTCTTGAGAGCCAGATACTGCCCCTGCTAATGCTGCTTCTTGGAACAAAACTTCAGGGTAGAATCCTTATTGCCACCTACTCAAAAATTCTGACAGTAGCATGATGATTATTGGTCTGGAAGTAGTGATTTTTGGAATGACTCTCCTAAGCATTCAGGGGTTAAGGTTCCAGTCTTCTTGACATCTTCCAATTCAGATTTCAAGCGAAAGACAGGGATGGCACCTGTGTCATTTGTTGTTTTTATTTAGGAGGCAGTGAAAAAAACACAACAAAAACGCCCTCAAGAGCTTCCCTCTCTGAGGCCAGACCCCACAGCCCTTGATTTTCCCTGGACTACTTGACACATGTACAGCAGATACGGATCACACTGTGGAAACACAACAGGTCCACTGGAACACAGGGAACTCAGAGGAAGAGCTTCAGAATATCACATCTGCTCAACTGACATATAAAACCACTGGGAGAGATGAAGAAACAATTTATAGGTCAGTGCCTGCAGCAGCTGGAAGGAGTACAATGGATGGATCTTTCCTCCATCAGACCAAGCAGTCTGTGGAAGTGTTTCAGGCTTTGCGCTGCCACAGAGGTTGATTGTTAGCAGAACCAGTCTCTAGACGTGAACGCCCGAGAAACGGCAAAAACCTTTGCAATGGAAATTCCCCTTTGGAATCTGCCTGGTTTACAACACAGGGTGTGTTAGCTGATCCTCACAGCACTCTGCAAGGCTCATCTACTTTCCTACTGAGGGTTGGTGTTTGACAGAAGGACTTAGCTCCCCCTGACCTCTCTGCCAGGTCTCCAGGATGACCTAATGAATTAAGTCTAAGATTATTTCCCTTTCATACATTAGAAAGAGGCAGAACATGTGGGTTTTTTCTTTCTACTGAAGACTAGATTGTCAAAGAAAACACAAAACATGGCCATGCTTCTAGTGCTCTTTTTATACAGTTAACCACCGTGGCTGTCTTTGATGTACTGTCCAGGAAGAAGTATCTAGAACACTTTTTCAAAAATGGAAACTCTCACAAGCAACATCATCTTCAGGACCAGCTATAAATTTTATATTGCCAAGACATTTCAGGTGAATTAAAATGATTGTAATATTTTATTCAGCTTCAGAAGTTACAAGGGACAAGAGCAACTCAAATCAATTTGTATAGCTATTTTTTCTTATCATGTCTTACAGTTTTGTAGCTTCTCTTCCTTGTAGCCTAAGGAAAAGGTCATGAAAATGAGTGGGACTGAACATCAGGGCAAAACTGCAAGTCATACATTAAAGGCAGGTCTCAAAACTAAAAGAGGAGGGCAGAGGAACAAAGAAGACTTTCTGATCAGGAGATCCACTCATTTAAAATTGTCAGTAGTCTCAGAAAATAACAGTCTTGTTATCTGACATGGTGTACAAAGATGTGGAAATAAAACTTGGATCTTAATCCAAACAGACACCACAAAGTAAGAGTGAGCCTGGGAGAGACACTGTGGTTCACAACACATCGTTTGACTGTACAGTGAGGCGCACAGACTCAGCCTCCTAATTGTCAATCTAGTGTCCTATATTCTAGTGACACACTACCTCTCATGAACAGAATAATTAACGAGAAGAGGAGGCACATGATCAGATCCTACAGCTTTCTATTATTTAGGATGAATGGAAATAAAGGGAAACCTTTTCAAAACAGGCAACTGGAAACATCTTTTATGCAGAGAACTTCAGAGTTGGCAAAAGCAACCTTCCAAGGAAAAAAAAAAAAAAAAGAGAAACCTGAGTCATTAAATCCTCATATAATCTATAATAAGAGTTCCTTTCAGCACATGAGTTATCCAGCCTGGTGGCAAGGAGCTGACCCAAGAGGAAGAAGCCTTGTACTTCCACTTGTTGTGTGTAGGTATTATATCTTCCGCAGTTCCTGATAGTCATATAAACAACCTTAATCTTCAAAACAAATGACAGCCATTGTAAAAGTGCTTTCCTGTAAATGCCCAGCTTTGCTTTTTACTTAAAGACACACCTCACAGAACAATAGCTCAGCAGGTATGAATACAGCTAAACAATGCATAGACTCCCCGTAGTTTCAAGCTCACATCCTGCAGGCTCTTTTGCAAGAGTGAACAACAAAGTATTTGGGTAGACATCTGAACTTATAGAACTAGCACAGAAAAGCAAATCTTGATGTCTATCATCACTCCTATTACCATCACTATAGCTATCCATAGCTAACCTTTGTATAGCTACTAATGGCTTAGTTTAAATTGTTATTTCTCGATTTGAAAACGAGTTAGATTTTTTTGAAAGTCTTTAGTGTCT